TATATATATGTATGTATGTATATATATTTCTTGAAGTTCTGAAGAGATATGGACTATTGTGGTGTCATTGGTTTTTGATTTGTGAACCTCTTTTGGTTTTTAAACTTTCTTTGACTAATTAGTAACATTACAGTCAATAGTTCAGTTCAAACTTTAACTTTATAAAGGTTAAAGCTAAAATGACTAACATCCAACCATCTTTTTCTTATTGATATCATTGATTGTGCAGCTTATGTTTTTTTTTTTTTTTTCATTTTCATTTGGCCATATAAAACTTTTATATGTGCTTTATAGTATCTAATTAATATATTTGAAAATAGAAAAATTCTTAAAAAGTGCTCCTGTTCAAACTCGTTATTTTTCCTATTCTTTTCTCTTCTTCTATTTTCGTATATTCTACCCTTCTATTTTTTTTTTCATATGACATAAAATCTACTATATTTTTTTCATTTTCTTTGTCTCTCTTTCTGTTCCTCATCTCACTCATTGCACATCTCATTACACAACAATGTACAAAGTATCAATATTTTTAAAATTTTATTGAAATGAATTGATAGAACTTTTTTTTCCATTGTCATTATTCTATTATAAATTTCTTTATGAAAAGATTTATGATTTTTGTTATTAATTATTATTCATACCTAAATTTTTCTTTTCAATCAGTTAATGGTGCAAGAAAATTTTATACCCAAATAGTCAAACACTTATTTTCATTCTTCCACTTAATTTAGTATGTACAAAATTATGAAGAAATTAATAGGGTAACATGGGAGAAAATAGTTGAGAAATAGAAAATTGAACGTGTTTAATAGAGGGGAAATGAGACAAGATAGAAATGAAAAATATGAAATCCATATTAATTATTTTACAAAACAAGAAAGAAATTAAGAGTGAACAAGAGATGCAATAAAAATAATGAACTAATGTTCCTAGTTTTTATAGGGATACCTTACAATGATGCACCCTCCAACTGACTTCTGGATAAATCATTATTTTGCAGTGTTTTGTAGAGTATGCACACATTCATACACTGTAATTGACTTCTTCTGGAAAAAACCATCATTTTGCACGGCTTTTGTAGGGCACAAATACATTATTTGGCGTGTCGACTTAGAAAAACATACAATTTCTCTTTTACACAGATTAACTTAACTACTGTATGAGATCACGTTTGAATGTTTGATAGGTGAAACATAGCAGAATTTATCAAACCACTTGCTTAAACCAGAACACATGTAATTAAAATCAGCACCACAGGTTTGTTTTGTATGCATGTGTTCTTTCCTTCGTTAATGATGGTATTAGTCTAATTAACACTTCCAATATCTGATATGCATTAATATGTAGACCACAAACATAAAGCCACATGAAAATGAGACTTGAATTGAAGTTGTTGAGAGATTAATAACATGTTTGGTTTCACTTTTCAATCAATGTGCGTGATTTGTAAAAGCTTATGTTTACATTAGGTGTACACTTTCTAGGTCTTATTACATACTATATATGGTTTGAAGAAATATACCTTAAATTTGTTTTGTCTTTCTGATTGTCTTGTCTTATATATGTATATGTATATGTATATGCAGTGGGCACATTTCCCTCACATTCACTTTGGGTTAAAGCTGGATGGCAATAAGCAAGCAAAGTTGGACCAGGGAGATGCTACTCAAAAGTCTAACGGATTTTACTGATTACATATAAATGGAAGTTTATGTTATCAGCTGTTTTTTTCTGTGTTTGACCTAAATCAGTGAAAAAAGAGGTTGATGAAATTTGGCAATGATACAACTGGAATGGAGACTCTAGAGAAAATTGACCTCAGCATCAGCCTCTTACCCATATGTTTAATATCATATACTATAACGTTTGTGTTGCCCTTTTTCTATATGATTGCTATTCTTGTGATTGCATTAATTACTGTGTTGAACTTAGGCAATTATTAAGAAAACAAACATTGTAAGTTTAATTCTGCTATAATAACGCGTCCTTTTGTTTTGTAATAATCTATTATCTTTCTCTTTTGGGTGATTGCGTCTCTGCATATCAAAGGACGATTGCAACATTTTATTCTTTTGATGATAAGCGATCGATGAGTGTATCGTCCAAGAGGACCACTTCAACAGTGCTTTTCATCTTTGAGATGTTGCAATTTGACCCTTTCTTTCGGAATATCGTGCTTCATCCATAGGAACACTCTTTTATCCATCGTGTTATTTCATCACGGTTTTCCTTTTTTTCTCTTCTTTTTTAGACTCTTGTTCATACAATCTTGGAGTTTTGCGCTCTGGGGCTATCTGAACATCACGATTCTTTCTACCACCACCATCTAAAAAAAATACATACAATTTTTTATTTATTTATCTTTGATTGATGCTTTTGTTGTTCTTCCTGGACCGTCTTGTTCAGTTAATGCAGTGCAGCCTTCTGAAAGGAACACCATACAGTGCAGGGGTTGCATGCATGTCTTACTCTGCCACCTTCTCAGAACAGTTTTTTCTTTCTTTTTTATTCATTTAATATTTCTATGAAAAGGAACTATGCAGAAGAGAGTGATTAACGAAAACCCCAGTTTCCCGATTAAACCCTAAATTCACAGCATCAACAATGTTTCATCCAAGAATAGAATCTTATTTATTTTTATACTTTGGTATAAATATTTAGGTTTATTTTATTTTTCCAGTTGTGTTTTGTGGGGCATGATTTTCATGATTTTTCTCCTTTGGCTTTGTACTCACTCAAGCTTTCTTTTCTCTCAATATTATTATTTTTTTTTATAAAAGAAGGCTTATAATACATACTTTCCCTATTATTGTTTAAGGGCTAGGTCTCTATCCAACCTATTCTAACAAAACAAAAATACCAAGATTTTTAAAATTTCCTTTTAGTTATATATATAAATATTTATCATATAAATTTGTTTCAACAACAGAAGTATATTATATTCTAAGTTAAATTTAATGGCTATAAATTTCATTGCGTTTTGTGGAAGCATGTTACTTATTTAACGATGATTTAATAAAAAAAATCACATGAAGATTTTGTTTTTGTAAACTATTATCAATTATATTTAACGAAAAAGATGTTTAAGGTTATATATATATATATATATATATATATAATGATTTGATTTTTTTTATCTTAAGTGTGAAAAGTATACAAATTTTATCGTTTCATTAAAGATCCTTCGAGAAATGTTAGCAATACATTCTCTAATTTATGAATATAGTCATTAGTTAAAGTTTATTAGAAAAAAATACAAATTTAAAAGAGAAAAAAACTCATTAAGTGAAAAATAAATTCTATTAAAGTCTGTAATTTCTAATCAATTTCATTCAACAATAGAAATATGATAAGAAAAGTACGTTTCCAATATTTCTTAAGGGTAGTTATCAATTTATATAACTTAAAATACAAATTGCAATAACAAAAATTTAAAAAAAAAAAGATTTCGGATATTATATTAAAAATCAGTGCAATATAAATCAAACAAAATTCTCTTATATATAAAAAGATTTATCAAATAAGTAATTACATAATTATGCACATGAACTACAATTTGTTTATTATTATGTATTTTGTCTTCGTGAAGTTGTAAAATTATTTTAACATATAATTAATGTATAGTTTGAACTATACTTTGGGTTGTATCGTATGAGATATCTTATTTTTAATTTTTCATTAATTTTTATGGTTCATTATTTATCTTGAGTAGTGTTTTAATTTGTGAATCACGCAGAATTAATGTATATTTTTTTATTTAAACTTCATAATGTATAACCATTTCATAAAATATAGATTATATTATAATTAACATATATAAATATTTCGTAACATAAATTCTATTTCCTGTTTTTTTAAGATACTATATATTGTAATATAATACCATTTTAATCATCAAACTTTTTTTAGAAAATATTGAAATTCAATTTAGAACTAATTATATTAAAAACGATGAAATAAAAAAATATTAAAAAATACTTCAGTGAATAAAGAGCTCCTCAAACCCTTGATGTTTAGCTTTTTCATTTGAAGATGCCTGTAAAAATCAAAGTTCCTAATTATTAGTGAAAGTAAAATAGCGTCTACATTCATAAACTCACTGTTTAAAAATTTTAAAAATAAAAATCCTATTCAAACTAAAATAAATTGCTTGAATTAGATTATATTAAACTTTTTGTTAAAACAAACTCTTACATTTTTTTAGATAAAATAAGGTATGAACATAGATTTATATATACATAAAATATTTTCATTATTAAGAAGTTTTTTTAAGTGGTATCAAACATAAATTCATGAAGACTTAATTTAGAATGGACAATATTTTATCATCGACGACTTAACTTAAAATTGACAATATTTTATCAGTATAAAAATTTATCTGTGTTGAATTTCTTTACACTTTTAAAATCCAAAAACATACAATAAAAATGAAAAAGAAAAGTGATATAATTGAATGTTGAGTGAGTATTATGAGATTGAATTATTTAAGATAAGTTATGAATGTTGTAGGTAAAGGTTGTTGTGAGAAATATTGACAAGACATATATGTTTAACAGAGTGGGGTGAGTGGGATATTGTGTTGTGTATGTTTTGTACGGTCAAAACGCGCATGCTTTGCTTTGTGCAAAATCCGACTATTTTGTGATGCCCTCAATCTTTTGGGCTCATCACTGTCTCCGAATCATCACACTGCGATCCTTCATTCAAGGGATCATCATCATCATCCACACCTTCATTTTCACAAATCTTGCTGTCATTTTATATCTACCATCAACTCATTCTACCTCTAAGACTTTCAGTGTGGCTAATAATTTAAAGGTAAGTTTATAAATAAAATTTGTACATATTAATAAGGAAATATATTTTAAGTTTAAGTTAATCATATAAAAATTGTTTTGTAAAGTGAGATTTAACTCTATTTATACATTGTAAATTTGTTTTATTTTAGAGTTGATGTAGTATATCTAATATATCTTATATATTTTGAGTGAAACTAGACTGACAATTTAATATAAGGTGACATTATGTTTTAGATGGTTTTGTAACTATTTAAAAATAATAATTTTAAATCTAACTTAACTTTATAAAATCTACATATTTATATTTATTTATATAGAGTTAAATATTTTTGTGGTCATTTAATTTAAAATCTACATATTTATATTTATTTATACAGAGTTAAATATTTTTGTGGTCATTTAATTTTAAATGAAAATTGAAACGAGTCTCTTTTTGAAATTTTAAACTAATTTATTCTCTTATCTTTATAATAACATGAATTTAGTTCTTATCTTTATAATAACATGAATTTAGTTTTTTAATCAAATTTTGTTAAATTTATTTAGAGTTTCAAACGCATTTTTCAACTAATATAGAAGAAAAAATATGTCAATAAACAATTTAAATACATGCATTTAAAATGTCAAATAAACTTAACAAAATTTGATCAAAACACTAAATTTACACATTAGTAAAATTTTAAAGAAAAACTAATTTTAATTTTTACTAAAAATTAAGAAACCAAAAACATATTTAATTTTTTATATAAAATAAGTTTGGATTATTTTTGTCCAACAAATAATAAATTTCTCTAAATTTAGTTTATAATGATTTTGATATTATTTTAAAAAATAAAATTTAATTTAATTTAATTAAAAAAACTGAATTATAAAATAAAGTTTGGTCTTTAATTTATATATTGATAGATCGTGTGGAATTTTGAAGAGGATAATTTAGGATTAAAAAGAGAAGAATTTGGTTAATTAGATTTGAATTTGAAAGGTGGTTGAGATGAGGGAAAGAAGAATATAGAAAAGGGGGAAGTGCGGAAGAGGAGATAGGTTGTCCGGTGGGATAAGGTTAAAAGTACAGAATCTGAAACGTCAAATCAGATAAGTTGATGAGTTAATTGGATGCATGTGTGGGATGGATCTTGTCTGAAACTAAGATGCCTGACTTGACTTTACCTTCGTTTACAGAAAACAATAAATCAATGTTTCTGACCCAATTCCCACTGTCATTTCACCTATCGCCCTTCCTATTTTCACTCCGGGCCCCAACAACCTTCTCTATTCCCAATCTATATTTATTAAATTCCAATTATTACTTTCAAATATTCAATTTTTACTTTTTCTTTTTTTCTTTTTTTATAAATACAAAAGTTAACGTTTTTTAATAATTACCCTATCTCTTTCTTTGCGTCTTTACTACTTAATCTTTCTAAAACACATCAAATGTATTTTTCTTTTCGGATTTCTCCTAACTCACTCTACTGCAATATATAATAGATTATGTATTTGTATTTACATATATGAAGACTTTATTAATTATACTTTTAATATATAGATCATATGGTCAATATTTTCTTTTTATAATTATGCATTTCTAGATTATAATGCAATAGATAATTAAAATAAAGGATAAATAAAATATATTTTATTTCATTTTCCTTTTTACTCGTATCACTCAATTTTTAATCATGTTATTTTTTTAATTCTCTTTTTCTTTCTTTTTTTTCACTCTTACTTTTCATAGTCTAATCCAAAATATAAAGGTTCTCATAAAAATCCTTCTCTGGTAAATAAACAGCAAAGCAGTTTACATCATTTGATGCCCTTGGATGTTCCATAAATAATATTCATTTTAGTCTCTTATATGAAATACTTCTTCAAAAATTACACAGATCAATATTAAAATGTAACCCAGTTTAATATTTAAGATTATCGATTTCATAAAAAAAAATATTACTCTTAAACATGTTAATTATAGAGGATGATGGCCGTATTTAAACATGATGACATTTTTTGTTGTATTAAATAGGACTAAGATAGTTAGAAATTGTTTTAATATTGAAGTTACCCAAATATAACTATTTTTTTCATCTATATTTGAGTTCGAAGTAGCATTTTTATTCTAGTTAAATATTATCACTTTGTCTGGAAGATGTGAAGATTTCAAAGTCTGCGAGTACAGTATACAAGTGTCAACAAAGACAAATAAATAA